GTCGAATAGTCGCACTACAGGATTTATGGCTTGTGGATCGTGATCCCTTTACTGCCATATTGACTGGTATGGGTTGGTTAAGGTCTCGAGTTGGGAGTCCATGGACAGAGACAAAGGTATTACTGATCATATCTCTTCCGATTGCGCCAGTGTTGAATAGGACTCGAGCCTTTTTGCCATTGATCGGGATAGTACCTTCCAGGGCGGTGTGTGCTTTGAATGAAGCCGGAGGTTGGACACTGTTGCATTCCACATCGATATATCCGATATGGATCTCTTTATATTCGCTGGATTGGGTATTATTGCTTTCAACATTGTTGGCCGATACCTCTTGCTTAATTGCCTTTCCTTTCCCTTTCTTCATAGGACAATTCTTTGCCATGTGTCCTGTTTTTCCACATTCAAAACATTCTCCTTTCTGCCGTCTTGATTCTTTGGAGTATTTTGTTTTCTTCTTGAAAACCCGTGGGGTATTGTCTTCAGAGTTGCTGGAGGCTTTGTGCCGTGGCCGGCTGTTCCTACTAGAGGATGTCTGTATATTGTAGGCCTTGGTCTCATGGAGAATGGCGTCCTTTCGTTCTGCTCTTGCAATTATTACTGCAATATCATCGCCGTCTTCCTCAAGTGGTTCTACTTCTCGCCGGAGGATAGGGTGCATAGTGTCGTAGAATCGTCGCTTCAGGATGTATTTGAAGATACTTCCTCTCTCCATTCAGTCCTTGTACATCATCAGGTCCGTAGCTACATCGGTGATTCGCTTGACATGCATTCCGTTAACTTGCTGGAGCTGGTTGAATTTGTTGTATAGGAGGTCGTTGGTTATAGAAGATTGAAATCGTCCTTTCAAGTAATCGAGAACTGTAGTTCCTCTTAGTCTTACATTCCCGCCGTATTCCTTATAGCATTGGTGGTATGCGTTGGTTGCCTTTCCTTCGCAAAATGATCCAATGATAAGTCCGGTTGTAGGGTCTTCCACATCTTTTCCTTGTAAGCGTAGGAAGTGTGAAAGTTCCGTCGCCCATCGGTCAAAAGCTTCAGGTTTGAGGTCTTTTCCTTCTCCTGTGAACTTCGCTGGGAGGTGGAGTTTAAACTTAGGGGGTTTAAATGCTGCGGGTACCTCCTCTTCTTCAGGCCTAGTCCGAGATTTTCCTCCTCCAGAAGGCCCTCCTCCTGTACTAGCCATATCTGATTCGCTACTGGATTCGGGGTCGATTGGAGGTTCAAAGGAAGGCTTCTTTGCTGGAGTAGAAGGGAATTCTCCTGGAGGTTGTGTGTCTTCCGTGTTTGCAGGATCGCCCAGCTCTTTAGCAGAGCACTGGGGTTGTTTCTTTCTTGTAAGGTCTTGCCGTGGGATTTGCTTCCCACTCCTGGTTGTTAAAGACTCTATCTTGGTTTTGAGATGAAGCCGAATGTGCTGTGATTCTGCCGCTTCTCTCCGCTAGCGTTCTGGTGAATATCGATAGGTTGATCAGGCCTAAATCCGGAGACAGGTTCTTAACCACTTGCTGAGGTTAAAAAAATGTAACGTGTTCGCAGGGTGCTAATCACGTTATCGGTAATGGATACGATAGTTGGCAGGTGGCCTGCTCTTCCAGAGAGGAGACAAGAGCTGAGAACTAAAGGAGACTTCGAGGGTGTACTGGGGAACAAAGAAGTAACCGTTCAACCAAGTATATTAAAATACTGTCTGTCGAAGTCTGCCTTTTCTCTCGTAGAAACAGGCGGTCTTTAAATACACAAATCTGTTCATGTCTAGCATGAACGAAACTAATCAAAGGTATCAATCGATACTCTTTGGTAAAACTCCTTAAGTATCAAAGCGATACTTAAAACAAAACATAAAACAAAACCAAGTATCAAACGATACTTAAAACAAACCAAGTATCAAAGCGATACTTAAAACAAAACATAAAACAAAACCAATAACCGAGTACCCGTACCGGTTACAAATTGCCCTTTGACAATTTAGATCCTGCACTATATGTACCTCTTAAATTCTTATCAGCCCCACTCCTCCACCTTATTTGCATTCCTGTATCCTTTTCTGTCATATCATCATTATCCTCTTCTTCACTTGAACCAAGTATATTATCACTCTCAGTCCTATCCTCTGATTCAGAAATAGAGTTCAAACCAAGGTCACCAAGCGCTCAGTGCATATGCGTTCTATTTGGAAGACTCTCATCTTGGTCCAAATTAATTCTTCGTACTCACTTCAATCCTCGTGCAATAGTTAGTTGATCCTTGTACTCATTGCTAGCTGACATTCTGCTCTGATCTTGAACTTTCAGTCAGGAGACATTGTCCAAAAATGTGTGATTTGAAGCACAATTGCTTAAGTTCCTGTATTGCATGTTGTCCTTTTCACTTATCTTACATCTCACTTCACTGGACTCATGGGATATCACTTACTCTTGTGTTCTTAGCATATATTTTCTAATACTTATCGGTTAATTCACATGCCTTTCATACAAATATCCCTGTTTTCAAAACCTCCTCTACCCTTCATCCTTTTATTATTCATTTATTTTTTCTTTAATTCCATTCTCGCACTAGTTATTTACACATTTACAGAACTCTTACCGTAAAAACTCAAATAATTAGTCAGTGTACTAGGAAGTCCATTACAAGGTTTATCATGCCCAGGCAGGAAGATACCAATCATAATATCAGCCTCCAAGATTCTTCATGCTAATCAAAAATAATATTTACATAAATCATCCTCCAGATCTTCTTCATCATCTACACAAATATCTCCTCAACTCTCACCAACCCACCAGAAGATCTTGTTGCCATCAACCAAGGTACCCCCCTCCTCTTATTGACTATTTACTAACCCGTGAATTTAGAAGTCGGTCTCTATTCCTTTGATAAAGAGTTCAGTATCAATACTCCTACTGATAGTGAGTACTAGTCCAACCACCTGAAATGCCTGCTGAATGACCTCTATTTTCTCTCTGGAGAATCTGGTCCATGCCTCGCCGATTACCCAAGTGGCTGCTATTCGCCGACACCCTACCATACCTCCTGTGAGTTTTCCCCCTCCAATAAGATTTCTTCCTCCTCCATATCTATTTGATCCAATCTTGCATCTAACTCTTCCCAATGCTAATTAATATTATAGGTTCCAAGCTAAGGTAAGCCTTCCTCATAAGGTTAATTCACATACCTTCAAGATATCTTTAAAGGGAAAGTTGATTGATACATCTAGAAGTTGTACTAATCCAGTACAACCTCCAGGTATCATACTTACAGTGATATTGTGGGTAACTAAAGTGTCCAATACCTCTTCAGTTTTGTATGCGGTGAAGAGGTCCATTGCAAGCAATGTAGGCTGACTTTGAAGCACAGGTATGACTTGCTCATCGAGCCACTCGACGATATTTGTGGAGTTGACATAGTCAGTCAGGTTGAATTTAACTACAACCCGACTGTCATACTACTTCCACTCCTCCACAATCGTGCTTCCCACTCCCTTACTATAAAAGTATACTAATGGCTGAACTTGGGGAACCTCATCAGCAAAAACTGTGAGTTGTATTGTCCCCTGTCTTTTTTCCCAACCAGATATGCTTCTCGACTAAATCCAAATAGTTTTTTCACCAATGGTGTTATAGGTTTGCCCTTCAAGATACTCGAAGGGTAAAGGGGTTTGATCCATATTGCAGATATTCTGCAATCTGTATCTCCCTACCGTAGCAGGTATGTCTCCCAACTCAAATTCATCCTTACCTCAAAGCATTGAATTGTGCTGATTAAACTACATCCATGCTAATATCACCTTTGAAAAATCTGCTGGTAACTTACTCGCTTTATTGGTGACAAGACATAAGCTACTTTGATGAGTATGCAGAAAACTTCTAAACCAGCCATTACTGAACTTAAAAAGGTATTCCTCCTCCTTTCTCTCTTTATAACCCTTTTCAAAGATTTCTTTACTAATCCGCCTAAACCATCCACTTCGAACTGGTCTTCCTAATGCCCTCCGTTGATGAAACTCTTCATACAACTTTTTTTCCAATTCCTCCCACTTTCTACGCTGCCCTCCACCCGTGATTTGTCGGTCTCCCCCTCCCGCCTCCATGTATTTTCCCTCCTCTTCATCTTCCTTCCAACGTGCCAGATTGTTGACTGGGATTTTGAAATGCTTGGCGACTTCAGCTTGTGTAGGTTCTTAAGTCTTGGTTGGACTACAAGGTATTTACTTTCCATACCACCAAGATAGGACTTGAAGCTTATAACTAATTGTATAAGACTGATAGGGATTTGCTGTCGTGGCCTTGGGGCTTTTTTGAATGCACTCGGTAAGTGGCTTTCTTTTGGGCCCCCTCTTCTTTTTTACTCCCGCATAAAACTTGTCTACCGGAAGTGGTAGGAGTATTGGTTGTATCGTTATTCTTCTGCATATCTTCTTTTCCTGCTTTACTGGCATTGTTGGGTATATGTATATAAAATAGAAATTATTAAAGTAGTATGAAAAGAGGAAAGTATTCGGGTACAAGATTTGTATGAGATATTATCAAAATTATTCTATTTACTCTTCCTTTTCAACTTCTCATACCATTAAACCTACAGACTATGAGTATATTGTTACTCACTATCTAGATTGTCATCAGATTTACTCCTGAGTCACACTGCACAGCTTAATTTCCCACTGCTAAATTTACATTTAAGACATTTTTCACCCCTTTTTCCACTGACCTACCTTAAATCAACCTCATAGCACACCGACCGATTATTTGAGTTTTTACGGTAATTAATATCTTGACATGTGGGGTTGCTGTTGTTGATCCGAGTGTGGTGGTTTTTTGCGCGCATTTGGTGGTGGTTGGCATTGACGAATTTTTCTCAAATTAGAAATGCTAATTTTCTTCTTTGGTTTAATAGAATACCACTTCTGGAGTCTATGCACAGACCTCTACCACCCCTGCTTGTCCCAATACTTCACCCCTCCCCTAGTAGGCTGCATACTTTGCACGCGTTTGGTTTGACACGCATTTCATAATTCTCAATTTGCAATTCGCATTTACCACATCACACCCATTCTCCCCGTCCGCAAATCATTTCAATACTAACCGGCTTATCTAACATGAAATATTGGAAATGATCTGGGGTACATAGCCCACATCTTCCTGGAGTGAGAAAATAAATTTAATGAAAGGGGGGGAATAATCATAATATAACAAAAGGACACACTTCATTACAGTATTATCATACTGGTATCAATATCCCAACCTACTCTACTTCCTCCATATCCCCATCATCCGTATTTTTACTCATCACCATATCTCCTCCATAGCGTTAAAACATAAGACTCCATTTCGCGCTGTCGTGATCAAACAAAGGAAACAACCGCTGAAACATGCATGCCGACAAGGAGACTAACACAACCAACTAGAATGACAACTTGTCCTTAAGCCCATCTCCCCAACGAGACCAAGGGAATGACGATGGCTTCTCTTCTGCTTCACCATCGCCCAAGGTCTGGAACAACTCCGGGTCCCTGGCTGGATCGTCGCCCTCCGCGGCGGGGTGTGCGTCCTTTTCCTCGGGCACTTCATCACCCGTGGGAGTTGTGTGATCTGGTACTAAATTGTCATCGGAAGTTGAGTCTGCTGATCCCTCGGCCTCGTCGCTGACTGGGTCCCCGAAGGCTAAGTGGTAGTGAATGGACAACAAACCATCGCCATTCTCCTTTCCCAAGAAGTCTAGACTATCTGAGTCGAACATGCCCTCATTATCTTCGCTTTGTTTGTTCTCATCCTCAATATCCTCGGGGATCTCAATGTCAACCTCCAATTCCAGCTCGTCCATATCGACTCCAACAACCCGAACAGTGTCGTCTTCGATAGAGCATGTTGGATCAGCCTCGCCGTGATTAAACCAATTGATTGAAACGGAATTTGTCGCAATGCCGACGAAGGATTTGAATAGGGTAAAATAGAGGAATAGTAGAATATTGATGCCTGCAAGGATTTTTACAGCCTTGGGATCCGTAAGCTTGTTAAGGTAAAATTTGGCGTTTTCGACGGAAAAGTGGTCCATTATAGGAAGGCGGGGTGGAGCACGGCGCCTACTCTTTCTGGAAGACTTCGGCGTCAAAAATTTAGCGGCGAGTGACACGGGCACGTCCGGTTGGGATAGACGCCTGAGGGTTCCGCTACTACTGTTGCTACTATTGTGGCTGTGGTTGCTTTTCTTTCGATCAGATATGCCACCACTATTGCTCGAGTGAGTTCCACGGCGGGTGTTTCGGTTGGTTGACAAGCCATCGCAATCACCCTCGATATCATTGAAGTCCGTCGCAACGAAAGTCAACGATCCGAGCTCGAGAGGGATGGGAGTAGTAACTGAAGCAGATTTGTCGTTGAGACTGCCACTACGGGCCATAGCCACAGCGATAGCAGATGAAGGAGAAGAAAGACCAACCCCCCATTTATTCGTTCGGTCGAAACCACGAGGCCAAATCTCGACATCAATCCTTTCCATTTCTGACCAAACTCTCTTCCACGCACCAGGAGTCATGAGGCCATTGGAGGCGTAAACCCGTAGTTGCCATGGCTTCTTTCCGGGGGTGGAAGGAACATTCAAGGCCTTCTCCCAGCTTGGGTCCTCTTCTTCCGCCTTAGAGGCCGTCTCTTCCAGAGGGTAATCATCGTCATCCAGACCTAAGCCGTCTAAAATCATTTCTTCTAATAAGTTGTAATCACCTCTGGGGTGTTCCACTAACAGTCCACGCTCAAAGGTTGTTGGGGTGATATGTTGAAGGACAATATCCTCGGCGCCGGGGAGCAGAAGCAATGTGATGTGAAGAAGAACAAGAGGTGCCTTTCTCTCGTGTTCTCGAGGGTCGTAGGACCCTGAAGATGCTCTTGATGCAGGTGATGGTCGAGTATACAACCGATGACTAAGAGCAGATTTGGCTGAGGCTGAGCCCTGACTCTGCCGAGCACGTGAAGGAAATAGGGGTGATGAAAGAGGAGGGGCAGACTTCCGGGATGAAGCCGGTGACTGCCGAACATTGGCTGGTGGTGAAGAAGTCGGTAAGGCCTCGCCCTCGTCGTCCTCCCATTGAGAAGAGGATTCCCAGGCTCTACCCTTGTGCACAAAGGTATCTTCACTGGTTGCGTACCGTTCTCCCTTAGGGAAGCAATCTCGGCGATTTTCGTTTCCATCTTCATCTTCGGTCTCCACTTCAGGGGCTCGATAATTTTCAGAGCCATCGACGGGGCTTGAAACATGTACAGAATGTGTATGATCACCATTTTTGCTCGGCGTCTCGACAGAAGTTGGGGGTGAGGAAGGCACGCTTTGGGTGCGTGCCCCATCGTCATCGTACTCCTCATCACAACCAGATTCATCTCTTTCCTTACCATCGGAGCCGTCCATGGGAGTCAAGAGCTCCTCATGGTCGTAATTGCTATCGGAAATCTCGCTCTCATATTCTTCAGCAGCCGGCGATGTAGGGGGACTGAATGGTTCTCGGCCGGAGTTCATAGTCATGTTTGTTTGTTGTGGAAGCAAGGGGTAAGGAAACACGTGGCTCCCAGGAATTCGATATGGGATGGAAACAGACGGGTAAAGTTGAAGAAAACGGAAAAGGTCGTTATGTGTGTATCGTGAGAACTTGGGGCATTTTAGGGGGAAATGCGTATGTAGATAGATAAGGAAGGAAAGCTCAGGACGTTGGAATGTTAGAACGCAAACCTGGGAACACTGGGAGGGAGAAAATCGGGAGAAGTTTGGGGCGGGAGGGCAAAGGTTGATAGTTGATAGCTTTGTGGTTGTGGGACAGGGGAAGGTGTTGTTGGCCTGACAGACCGTTGCTATGGGAACGCTCCTGGTTGTTCCACAATCAATCCTAGACGCCGACTAGCCCTTTCCTTGCTGCACACCAAACGAGAAGAAAGTATGATACCGGCATTGCTCGCAAACTACCCGTGGCCCCCCTCCAAGGGCCCTCACTGCTCTCATCCGGTGCTGTCTACTCGTACTCGAGTAATTGCAGGCCGCTCTCTTCCCCGCACAGACTTCATCTCTAGCCTCCGTTAACTGTTGGATACTCGCGGCAGTCCCAGATGTTGCGGTGTGCTTTATGCCTGGTATGATACTGTCACAGCCAATGTAATTAATGTTTACACCTCTCCCCGACCACCACCAATTCTTTACGCGTGGATTTTCCTTCTTCTCGCCTCTCAATGACACCAGCTTCCTTCCCTATAGTGGTTCTTCAAGTGACGCCAAAACTAATACTGCCACCGGTATTAGATGGCTCGTGGTTAGCTTGCATTATGGTCCATCGAACTTTTCGCCCAACTGCCAACACAGCGACGGGCGTAGTCTTAACCCTATCATACCCAGGACGAAACTGGGTGATTAATGGACAAGGATCGGCACGATAATGGGTAATTATTTGTTACCCTACTTTTGACGATACCGGTACCCCTGTTTGTCACCCTCCTGGTTTTGTCGTGATTGTAAACAGTTTGCCCAACGGGGTTAGCGCGATGTATTTATTGATAACAACCCCCCCCCTCAAGCTCCACGCCAATCATGAAATTTTAGCCGTAATGTATCATAAATCGAGTGGAGCGTGATTGAGGGGGGGGGTATATTAATGTCTATTTAACAGCACTTCTAAGGTCTAGCCCAAACCCTAAAAAATAGATTACAGGAAACAAGCACAAAAAAGGAAAACTTCTTCCAAACGTGTTATCTATTCATCCATTCCTTCGTTTATTTGCTAATCTCGACACCGCCAACGGCACCAAGGGCCTTCTTGATATCACCGTAGATCGCGAATTGACCAGCAGTCAAGGTTCCAACTAAGATAAAAGTCAGCATGCGGAAGCATGAAATAGGATTGGAATAAACTGACCCATAAACAGACGGGCACCGATACCGGTGTATGAGCCTCTGAATCCCAATTCCTTAGCGATCTTGATCAATCTAGTAGTAGTTCCCTCGCCGGGAAGCCCCTTAGTCTTGTTGATCTTTGAAAGCATAGTATCGGCGGGTTGGGACACAATGGCAGCAGCGAAACCAGCGATCAAACCAGATCCCAGGTTGACGGTAGTCTGCGCACCGTCGGACATGGACTTCTTATCCCAGTAGGAGTAGACAGTCTCGGCAACCTTCTCGTATACGACAAACTTGGCCATGGTATATGGGACCTGTTTGAATAGGATGGGCCCGAATCCGGAGTAGAAAGCACCAACACCCTCGTTCTTCAAGATCTTGCCGAAACCCGAGAGGAGGCCGGAAGCGAAGTCGGGTTGGGAAACCAGACGGATACGGGTAGCCTCCAACGGGCATAGGGCAATGTCGGCGAAGAATTCGGCAAGTGCCGAAGAAGCAAGGTAGACAGCTGTTCGGTTTTGCGAAGCGGTCTCATATCCCTGGTTTGCCATATATGAGAACTTGATCACGGGACCGTATTATCCTAACGGAGGAGAGAGAGAAAAACACTCACAAGAATGTTGATGCTCTGCTGCTTGAAAAGCTCATATCCCCCAAACTTGAATGCTCCCTGCAAGAAGTATCCAGCACAGGTGGGGCCAAACCCGGTCAAAAGGGCGCCAGCACCCTCATTCTGAACGACCTGCTTGAAGCCACCGACAAGACCACGATTGTAGGTAACGGGGTCAAGTTGAATGCGGGTTTTTACACTTGCAGGGGGGGAATCCAATGTTAGCGCCTCAATATATCTGGTCTGGGGCGGCGGGGTTCCGTCTCCAACAAATACGAAGCAATTTTGCAAGGTATCTTTTCCAGACAGAGGCCCCAATTGTTATTATTCACGGTCAAGTGGTTATCCGGCACCCCATCGATAGCCCAATCAATGGCTCCAAGAGCCCCACGCGTGGGCCCGACATCTGACCGGCTTCCGCAAATCCGACCGCCAAGAAAGTTTCGGTGGAGAGAAGGGACTCGACAAAACCAAGAACAAAGGAAAAGAGATACTTACACATCAACGGGAGTCAACGCACCGTGGGTGACACCACAGCAGACGGCGCCAGCAAAAGCGAAGCGGGAATACAGCTGGAGACCAGACAGCTGCTCTGGTTTCTTACTGGAAACAACGGCTTCGACCGCTTTTGACATTTTTTCTGTAATGTCTCGATTTCCTTTGGGAAAAAAAAGTCGTGAAGAGGGGATCCTTGGACAAGTTCACAAGGGCTCGTAGGTGATGCAAAGAGTAGTCGCGGTAAGCGGGAGTGAGTGGAGAGTTGAATGACCGTACGAGTAGAATGCGGAAAGAGAGGAGGAGAAAGCAGGAAAGATAAAAGAGGACAGTCCGGGAGGGGGATAAAAGGGAAGGAGAAAAAAAAAGAGTCTAGTGCGCCATTTGTTTCAGGGCTAGAAGCAACCAGGGCTTATGCACGTCTTTCCTTATGCGGCTTCGACTCTCCAAATATGGCGGATTGATCTCCAGGGTTTTGTCTTCTTTCTCGAGACTTGGCGCTTGTTGGCCAGAGTAAACTCCTTCCGAGGTTCCGATGCTGTGATACTTTTTTTTCCTTTCTCTCTTGCTTTCTTTGGCTCGTTTTACCTACTCGAGTATCTGTGCCCTATGTATTTTTCCTTCTCGGTCCGCTCCCGTCCAATGATTTCGTCATGTGGACCTAAACAGTTTCACCTCTCCAATGGCGGCTTCTCAGTGGAAGGGGCCGACGGCGAAAGGGCTTAGCGCATAATAAAATAAGCTTTTGATGGCATAGAACTCCCCACAAATGTCGGGCTTCTTAAACTCGATACCTTCAAGAGGTAGTCTACCACGTTGCCAATTCTCGAGCAAATTATACTTGAGGAGCATGGCTGCAAAATCATACCCCAAGAAGGCATAGAGGTATGGTTGAAGTTGGCGTCTGGGGCCAAGCCTGGTCATTAACTTACCAGTTTTTTTTTTTTTTTTTTTGTTAAATCGTAGAATCTATTTGCTTAAAGGTGCAAACCTCCATTATAAGAGCACAGTCCGGCTAAAGCATGGATCCTAGATACAAAGGCACCTCTGCAATAACTGCCCCACACCTCCGATTTAGTCCTTAGACATGCTGGTCAAAAACCTCCTCCACAGGCCTAGGGGAAAACAAGCCAGCCCAAGTCCCTCTGGTATGGGACCAACTGCACATTTGCCCCCATGAAAGCTCCTTCTGCACAAAACAAAAAAAGCACAAAACAGGACCGGCAGGAGCCAACAAGAAAACCCACACCATATTCTCTTGAGAAAGGAAACACAAAAGAAACCCAACAAAGGAAACCACCTTGATAAACCACATTCCCCATTTTTCAGCCGGTCCAGCCTTGGCTAGCAGCTAGGAACATAGGGGAGAACCATGATGCATTTGCTTCATGTGATGAAGGCAACTGACCTGGACGTGCCGGCCCCCAGTGGAGTGATCGCTTATGGCTGGTCAGATGGGGGCATGACCAGAGGCAGTGCAATAACAACCACGCATTGCTGAGTAACCCAGACATTGGTAAAGTAGTAAACCCGACCGAGTAAAAGAACTCTGAGGGGCAGAGGAATAGTCACAACCTCACACAGCTTAGCCGAGGTGGCCACCATGGAGGAAGGGGGAGGACAGGAACCACAATCTGGCAGAGGGACCCAAAGTCCAACACCAGAGGGGGTGAAAATTTCGTTTAGCCTCATGATGAGGTTTGGTGTCCAGGCTTATGAAGCTTCCAACATTCAGCACAGGAGAGATGATCGTGAGGTGGTAGAGCGTGGTGTTGACTACCACCACCACCTTCCCAAACAGGAAGGTGAAAAGCGGGGTCAGGAAAATAGCCGAAGAGAAGCTTGTCATTAACTTACCGGTACAGTACGAGTACTTGTATCACATTAAATTATGTTAAAACCACCTAGGTCTCCTTCGCACCTCTAATTCTTGTAGTCTACGAGTACGGAGTGCACGGCTTCAACTTTGCCGCGCGAACAAACTATCGGTCATCATCACGCTTTGGTAGATACACTAGCCCAGTCTCGGTGTAGTTAAGGATCCGTCTTAGTACCGTAGGCAAGCAATTACCGTATTCCGCTATTTCTCTTTGGTGAATGGCCGACCTTTATTTTATTATGCTTGTCGTTCATGGGCTGTACGGTCTTGTGTAAAAAAAACCTAGGTTCCAAGGATTCCGCAAGCTGGGGCTCGCTTTCTATGGAAGCATTATGCAAGAGTTAATTGAATTTGGGATCTATTCAATGGCTTGCTTCTTCTGTCTTGTTTACCCTCTAGGCTTTGATACATCAGCCCCGGGTGCCAGCCACCGCACAGCAACGAAACAAACCCCTTTGTCTTATTGAGAGATCGGATCCTGTTTTGGCGGCGTCGAGGGCTGATAATACGATGCCCGCAAATCCTGTTCCACCCATGTCTCTCGCCGTCAGTGCCAAAAATCACGGGAGATCGGCATCGCAGCAACCGACACCCTTGCTCTGTGCTATCTCACTAGATGCCCCTCACGTTGAAGATGTGGGGAAACTTTTAACCTACCATTTCTTACCGCCGAAATGCGATCTAGACCTTTGTTGACTGCAACTCTGCATGGTAAAGTTTAGTGCGGGGTGTTCTGGCATCTCTCTCGGCACTTGATGCGCTGCCATTGTATCTTTCCTAAAAGCTGGATTCGTCCCAGGGAGGATCTGTCAAACTACCTCTCACTATTTGCATTAAAGCGTAGCGATTTTAGAGTCTTCTTGCCTTCTGGTTTGCTCGGCTGACCTCGTTCATAATCCGACCTCTACGAAAAGGTGACAGTGGTAACATCTTAGGCTCTCGTTGGGTATATATCCCCGCTTGGGAGAGTGACAAATCAATCACCGTACGCATCTTCACTACGGTAGGGGCGTCTGACCCTCCGAGTTTATGTATGTTAATAGATCTCACTGAATATCGGATGAGAGGGCTAAAGAATCATAGGAAAGACGCGATATTGCCCTTGTGAGCTGTTTATCAAACACAGTGGGGGATTGACATCGGAGCTAGAAATTCCAAGGAAATTCTGACTACATTTAGCGTATTCTTTCAACGATATACCTCTTCCACGATAACTCACCACCGAAGGCCCCCGTGGACCGACTACAGTGCCGAAAACAAGCTAGCCAGCGGATACCCTGCACATGGAACTCGAGATCTGCGGAATCCTTCACTCCCCGAACCCACGATTGACTCCAGGGCTGGATGATAACCATGACCTGGCTTGGGCGTCAATGCCTTGCTTCTTTCAGCGCTTTTGTAACCCCGATTATTTGGCGATATCCCTATCGGATTCCTTGAATTAGGTCTGTATAGCCGCAGATTTTCATAAAAGTTCGGGTAGTTGAGCCGGCATTAGGATGACATCCATGTGCTTACGCTGCAATTGAGGTATCAGGTCTAGTGATGTTCAGAAGCCCTGAGCTATTGGAATCAGGGCCTCGGCATATATAGATAGTATCATGTTCTATAAGATGCCTGCAAACCTTTTCGCCTTAAAGGCGTTAAAGCCGAAGCATAATAATCACAGCAAGAGTGTATCCAACATCATTAAGAGTATCCTATTCCTTGACCCCGCAATAGCCAACAGGGTGGCCTTACCACTACCCAACCTACACTTCTTGCACCCTTCCCTTGTGTTCTGTTACAAACCATAATATAAAAGTATTATGAAGAAGCTCCTCTAGGACCGGTTAACTCACATCACTAGCTGGCAGTAACGTTCGGCACGAGGACATTCGCAAAGAGTTAGGAGCAAACGGCGAGGGCCCCCGCCTCGTAGAGGATTCGCCCCGTGATCTTCAAGGATTTTGAAATTGCACTCGAGGTTATCTGCCAGGATCTAGAATGTTATGATATTGTGGTATTATTGATATGATAATATAGTATACGGTGTGATTTTTGGTTCCAAAATGAAAGGTATGATCGCAGGGCGTAGAGAGCCGAATGGGACCTGATTATTATGACATGATACTCCAGAAATAGTGCTAGCTTCATGCCACTGGTTCGGGTCCAAGGACATCCGGGCCCGAAGTGCTCAAATATCTCTATTGTGCCTCGCTGGTTTCAATAGTTTCCCTTTTTCATCAACAGTCACTCACTTTCTTACAGCTTCTTTTCTGAATTGCTGACCATGACACAACCTTAGTTTTGTCCACCTTTTTTTATGGTTAACATGATTAGCGGAGAAACCCTCGAGGCTCCTTGCCTTGCCAGGCGTTTAGACTCGCTACCTTCGAGGCTCCTCGTCTTTAACCGAACGATGGTCACTCATCCTGGTATCATAACTTCCTTCCGCCTTAGTACGGTATAGTAATTGTATTAAGCTATACTCTGGCGAGGGTTAGGGTTACATCTTGTGAGCAACCAGCTGAACCTCACGAGTGTAAAACCCCGGCTACCCTGTAAAAATCCCCGAGTAATTCCAGTTGGTTATTGTCGGAATCAGGGCTTCCGACATCGAGACATCGAGTATAACTTTTACCCCAACAGAAAGAGCCCGACTCCGCGTTCCTTGCCTGGAAAACCCCAGGCAGTTCTTACACTTTATAAAGCCTGCCTCGTTGCCAGTTGATTGGGACTGTTCCATTCTTCAGGATACTAGTGTTGCAAGAAAAAAAAAAATAGGATGTCTCGCGTTACTCCCGTCACTGAATTCATTACCTTCCCTGTGAAGGATGCGGAGAAGGCAATTGGTTCTGAAAATTGGGTTCGCGATATTGCCAAATGTGTTGGGTGCACTGGCGGGAATTGGGGATGGCAGGTTGAGGATGGGGGGAATCTACTTTGGGCTCTAAGTACTATCACCTATCTCACCCCCTCTATCTTCAGTCGGTGGCGGCAACAACGGGAGTAATGGCTTACACTCCCCTAGACTGGACCTCGCACTCGGCGCAGCAGGACTTCCTCAAGCAATCCACCTACCCAACCTTCAAAGAAAAAGTCATTGGTATGACTTCCGGTGCACCGTCCTTCTTCCACGCAGCTCTCACACCGCATGAGCCAACCGAAGTCTTCGAGGCTCCGGTCACGGAATGGTGTAAACTGAGCATCGCCCCGGGCATCGACAAAGACGAGTGGGTATCTGGTTTCAACAACTACAAGGAAACATTGGTGTTGGCCAGCGGTTATCGCGGTCACGCGTGCGGATGGGGGGTCGAGGATCCGGACATGTTCATGGCGGTGATCGGGTGGGAAAGTGTCGAGTCTCACCACAAGTTTTTGAAGGAGGAGGGTGGGAATATGGAGTGGGTTGTTAATGTCTCCGATGTTGAGAGTATGGAGAT